TTGCCTCTGGCTTTCCACGCGAGTGGCCTCGTTGCGAAAACCGCGCTCGTTACAAATCCTGCAGCATTTTGAGGCGCGATTGCACGAATCTCGACGCTGTTTTTCAAGACAAGTTCAAAGTAGAGAGGAGCGTGGCCGCCTGCACGAGGTCACCCCGGTGACTCGCCGAGTTCCGGCGCGAGCGCAGCGCCCCCCGCGACGCCACGGATGGGTAGCTTGGTGGAGCGCGGGGGGGGGTGGTGGAGCGAGGGGGGTGTGGTGGAGCACACAACACACATCACACTCCACACACACCACACACACCGCTGTACTCACGGATACGTCGGTTGTCCTTCCCGACCCGAAGCTGAGAGCGGAGGCTGCGATGTCACCGATGACGGCTGCTAGAGGCGATGATGGCGGCGATGATGATGATGGCTGTGGTAATGGTTGATGGTTGTGGAGATGGCGAAGGCAGCACACAGGGAGGAGGAGAAAGAGGCAGCAGGAGGAGGCGGCTGTGCAGGATGGAGAGAGAGGGGATGTGGTGGGGGGGGGCTTTGCTCGCACTAGGAGCGATGAGAGGAGCTCTCCGCGAGGCGGCGCTGTCTTCACAGTGCCGACGGTCACTGATGTAATGTTCTTGTAGAGAGACGGAGTCTTTGTAGAGGCAACACGGTTTATTATACCAAACAGTTTACACTTAAACCCTAACACAAAGAAATAATGGCCCCTTCCACCCACAACCTGGGGAGGTACAGCCTCCGGGCTATCGTATCTACAACTCTGTCCACTCTAGCCCTCCGGCTGGCTAGACCTAGGGGAGGCTGACCCACCACTGGCCCGGTAGGTACCTGACCACTGGCCCGTCCGGACCTGGCCCTTAGAAGGAAATCAGGCCGAGGGAACCACAGGGTCCTAACCTCTTGAACACTGGCACCGCACTGAGCCCCAATCCTTAGAAGTACGTCGGTGGCTTGAGGTCCAGGATCTTCTTATCCAGGTAGCTTCTGACTTCGGCTTGAGACGGACTGACTCGCGCTCTCAGGGACCTGCCTTAAATACTACTAGCTGTACTACCCGGCTTCGCCCGGGACTTGTATCCACCACGCCCGGCCGCCTTTGTCTCCCCAGTGGCGATGTTAATACGCCACACCAGTTACTCGTTTTGAGGCTGAGTCCCTCCCTCACCACTCTCCCTCCCTCACCACTCTCCCTCCCTCAGCACTCTCCCTCCCTCACCACTCTCCCTCCCTCACCACTCTCCCTCCCTCACCACTCTCCCTCCCTCAGCACTCTCCCTCCCTCAGCACTCTCCCTCCCTCACCACTCTCCCTCCCTCACCACTCTCCCTCCCTCACCACTCTCCCTCCCTCACCACTCTCCCTCCCTCACCACTCTCCCTCCCTCACCACTCTCCCTCCCTCACCACTCTCCCTCCCTCACCACTCTCCCTCCCTCACCACTCTTCCTACCTCACCAATCTCCCTCCCTCACCACTCTCCCTCCCTCACCACTCTCCCTCCCTCACCACTCTCCCTCCCTCACCACTCTCCCTCCCTCACCACTCTCCCTCCCTCACCACTCTTCCTCCCTCACCACTCTCCCTCCCTCACCACTCTCCCTCCATCACCACTCTCCCTCCCTCACCACTCTCCCTCCCTCACCACTCTCCCTCCCTCACCACTCTCCCTCCCTCACCACTCTCCCTCCCTCACCACTCTCCCTCCCTCACCACTCTCCCTCCCTCACCACTCTCCCTCTCTCACCATTCTCCCTCCCTCACCACTCTCCCTCCCTCACCACTCTCCCTCCCTCACCATTCTCCCTCCCTCACCACTCTCCCTCCCTCACCACTCTCCCTCCCTCACCACTCTCCCTCCCTCACCACTCTCCCTCCCTCACCACTCTCCCTCCCTCACCACTCTCCCTCCCTCACCACTCTTCCTCCCTCACCACTCTCCCTCCCTCACCACTCTCCCTCCCTCACCACTCTCCCTCCCTCACCACTCTCTCTCCCTCACCACTCTTCCTCCCTCACCACTCTCCCTCCCTCACCACTTTCCCTCCCTCACCACTCTCCCTCCCTCACCACTCTCCCTCCCTCACCACTCTCCCTCCCTCACCACTCTCCCTCCCTCACCACTCTCCCTCCCTCACGACTCCACCTCCCTCACAACTCTGTAGAGGACGTGAAACTTTGATGAATTTACCTCAGAGTCGCGTGGTGGGTGTCGAGGCCTAGCACCGTGCAGAGCCTCCGGCCTCGCCTAAATTGCCCACCCGGCTGAGGCTGAGTACGGGTGCCGTTCCCCCCCCCCCCCCCCCGCGCTACAATAATACTGTCTAATCGCTATAATTTTATAATCTACCGACCCTATAATAGTAATTGCACACATTGTGGTGGGGGGGGGGGGGGAGTGAAGAGGACGTGAAACTTTGATGAATTTACCTCAGAGTCGCGTGTTAATGCGTGCGCCTATTTTTAACGGGAATTAAAAATGGCGTCCACCCCGCGGCGAAGGCGTCGCTACCCATTGCCAGGGGCAACCGCCGTCCAATGAAAGCGGCGAAGGCGTCGCTACCCGTTGCCAGGGGCAACCGTCATCCAATGAAACTGCGTATGGTCCGGCGACACACAGACAGACAGATTCGCGATTTTATATATTTTGATTTCTCCCTGAGGGGCGGGGTTCTGGGGGATCCTAGCTTCCCCCAGCCCCTCCCTCCCCTCAGAGGGGTTCCAACTGCCGTTGGCCCGACCGGTCCGGACCGGTTTCTACCCCTCCCCTGGTTGTGGCGCGTGTGTGTCAATCATGACCATCATTGCTGATGGCTTTATTTTAGTGATTTCGTTTTTTGGTTTGGCCATGTTTGTTGTAGTACAGAGATAGAATGATGGCTTTAATCTAAGTTGTCTTGTGGTTGTTGTTGTTTGACTTGCATCCCACTGGGATCTTTGCACAGCGTTGGTGTATGGTGCTTTTCCTGGATTTTTCTGTTTGCGCAAAGTCACTTTAAGATGTTTTCTTGTTCATGTTTTAGTTTTTTTGTTTGTTGCGGTTGCATCCGGTTCAAGAGCCGAATGGCTCACAGGGCTATACCTAATAAATGAAAAAACCGGACAACTCACCTCGTCGAGAGGCATCCACATATATGAGTGGTTAAGCTGTGGGACGTGAAATGGACGAGCGACCAATAAAACACTATGTAATATGGGGATGACTGTTTTTTGCAATTCTCAAAATAATACTCATGCAGTCATGCAAATATCTGATTTAACACAGCACAGCAAAACCAGTTTCACTATTCAATTCCGCTCGTCCAGGCGAGTAGAATTCAATTACATTGATTCGATGCGACGTTTCTTATGGGATATAATAAGCGACAACATTTGGACTCCAAACCGAAAGGATTTGGGGATGTTTGTGGTTTTGTGGCAATAACTCGTCGAGAGGCATCCACATATATGAGTGGTTAAGCTGTGGGACGTGAAATGGACGAGCGACCAATAAAACACTATGTATTATGGGGATGACTGTTTTTTGATATTCTCAAAATAATACACATGTCTTAATACATGTCACGTGGAGACAGAGAGAGAGAGAGGGAGGGGCATTCACACCACGAGGTCACGTGGCCCAGGGAACAACAAATCCCCCCCCCCTACACCAACTGCCAACATGGACTGGTCTGTCCAAGTGGAGCTCCCTCGCCCCCCTGTCAGACACCAACATGGACTCGTCCATCGCTGGTCCCACCTCCCCCACGGAAAATCATCGAAGTCAACGTACAGTAGGACAGTCCACACAAGCGGCATCAACAACAGCAGCAGCAGCAGCCGTCACCATTCGCCACTAAGTGGCGGTGACGTCCCCGCGGCGTTGGTGCCAGGCTAGGTGCACTCTTAGGCCACGCGAAGTGTCGAAGGCTCGCTGACAGGAGGTCACGGGGCAGAACCCTGCAGGTGCCATGGGGTTGACCGACTCGAGATGGCTGCAGACGCCACCAGCTGTGCCAACTCGCCGCGTTTTAGCCGCCCGCCTCTCCGCTCGTTGTTGTGAGCGTCCCTCACGAGCCTCCTCCTCCACAGAGGCCGATCTTGACACCGCCGGTACCGCTCATCGGCAAGTCCACTCAGCTCCACATCCTCCAACCAGGTACCTTTGTAGACCCGCAGTGATGCCCCATGCCGTGTTGGCAGTCCACTGCTGGATGAAGGCTTCGGGTCGCCACGGTGGCTAGGAGATGTTAACTACCTCGCCCGGTGTGCAGGAGGTCGTGGGTTCGACCCCGACGCCTGCTGCTGCTGCTGCTGCTCTAGATGTGGAGTCTGCGGTGTCTCTCTCCACGTGGTCGCGTGGATTTCTCTCCCGGTGCTGCGGTGTTCCCATCCACATTTAGAGTCGACGTGTTGAGAATATTTGGTGCTCTAAATGTCCACGCGAGAAGCCACTTTGTTGAGCTATCATCTGTGGCCAGGTCGCTTCTTATAAAAGCGCTTCATAGCTCAGTGGGATTTACGTGGTTAAAATAAAAAATAGTAAAAATAACAGCACCACCACTCCATGTACACAGAACATCTGACGTGATCCTGACTGCAGTGCTCATCTCGATATGGTCGATGAAAGTGAATTACGTGGCGGCCGCTACGTTAAAAGGTTTCGTCACCTTTGGGTGGCATCAGTTGCTGCTCTGGCCCATCGGGAAATACAACAATGCCTTGATGGAGGCTCCATTGAAGATGCGTGCGACCCTCTCAACTGGCCGTCTGACCCGAATGTTCGGTCCAACCCTAGCTGAATATCGAGTGGAACTGGGTCACCCTGGGGCTATTTGCTACAAAGCAACACTTTGTTTTTACATCCCACGGTCAATCCACTGCTGGATGAAGGCCTCCCCACCATTGTGGTTCTTTGACCATATCCCACCACGGGTGGTCGATATATTTAAGAATACTTTATATATGTAATACACGTTATTATCAAAGTCAGAATATTTATACGGGAGGAATCCGATGAGCTATAAAGTTCTTTTTCACAGATGTCCAGTCGGGGCGGGTAAGAACGTTACAACAACGAACAACACAAACATCATAGGAGTGCAAAATACAAGTTGGCCCAAAAGTTAAGACACAGGGTTACTTAATTTATCTTAACACTGACATTACATAGTTCTCATTATTTATTCTTAAAGTTAACAATTTAACTATCATTAATTTTGATAACATCCTCTGTGACTAGTTCAAATAAATACGGTAACTCTGTGTCTTGACTTTTGGGGCAATTTTATATAGGCGACGTTATGTAATTGATGTGATGTGCTCTGCAGAAGGGCCATTATCTGAAACGTCGCCTATCATTTTCCTGTAACAATTCCCCCCACTCGTGCACTCCCAGCGTTGTGATTGGCTGAGTGGCGCCAGCGGGCCCCGCCCCGCCCGCCACCCGGGGCCCCGCCCCCTCACCTGAGGCTCCGCCCCCAGACGCGGCCCCGCCGCCGCCTGCGCGGCTCCCGTCAGCTCCGGCACGGCGACCCGCGCCGCGCCTCGGGCTTCATCCGGGGAGGGGGTCCCGGGCACAGCCCCGCGGGATCCCTCGCGGGGGTCGCCAACTGCAAGAAGAAGGAGAAGCACAGTGATCACATTTCGTACTTCGGACAAACACACGGCTCTACATTTCCCACGAAAGTTTAACCTGGCACTGTGTTCAGTAGCCCCAGCCAGCAGCACCCGTGCTGCTACTCTTAACCAGAAAGATGTTGCTCCACATTTAAGTTTAAATCTCAAGGTAGCGAAAAATGTGATGCGCCTGTCACGTTGACTGATAGGTGTTTTGAGCTCCTCGTGTTACTCGTGAACGGCAACAGCAGTGGCTCCAAAGCGGCCCTTGCATTGGTGGCCGCCATCCTAACGAGAGGCCACGAGGTCGCGTGGTCGCACGCTCACCTTGGGTGCAGGCAGCACAGACACGCTGATGTTTTCTCGTGCTGTGGCTGGCACCGGGGAGGGTTCCGGCAGGCCATGGGGAAGGCAGCTGGGTTGGGAGCAGAGCCTCTCGTCGGCCGCCGCCAGCACCTCGTTGGACGAGGTGGGGGCCAAGACCGTGAGGTCGTTGCCGAACGAGGTGCCCTCTGCTCCGCACGCCACAGTCGTGGTTGGGTCCTGCCACAGCAACGCAGTCAACACATCCACAATTGCTCCTCCCATCTTGACTTGGATCCCAACACACGTGGGACTATTTTATCACCAAAAGAAATACAATTTTAGTCCACGACCCGATGGGCAACCTGCATCAAATGTCTCAAATATATAAACATAATCTATTTTTAAAGGAACCCCAAACTCACTTTAACTCGCCAAATAGTCTATGAAGAAGGGGCCATTGACTAAAGAAGAACGAGTTCAGTTCGTCGTTACGTATGCAAAAGAAGGCAGCTGTAAACTTTTTTAAGATATTAACTTAATTTTAAAAGATAATTCGTGCATTAATCTTGAACTAAATAACAATCTGTTATTTGTTACCACAATTATGACCCGATGTGTCCTGATTTTTGGGCCAGCCTCTTATTAGCGACGTCATGAAGGACTAACTGTGACGTGCTCTGAAGCAGGGCCAGTGCCTGAAACGTCACCTGTTATATATTTAATCATACAGTATACATTAATTACACATTATTATACAGGTTGGCCCAAAAGTTAAGACACGGGGTTATTTAATTTATCTTGGCACTTACATTACTACGTTTTCATTATTTATTTTAAAAGTTAACTTTATTCTCAAAGTGTTGGTGTTATGTGCCTAACGCCGGACACTCTGCATGCTGCGTGTAACACTGACTCGGCTCGGTGGAGTTCCATGCAATTCTCAAGATTTTTTTTTTTCTTCGAAGGCTTAGATTAAAATTGTGACTAATCAATCGTTTGTTGTAAGAAGAAAAATCAATGTTCTCCCAAAATATCCTCTGTTTGTATTTTATCTTTGCGTTTTGACACCAATATTACTGAATAATAAATAAACTATTCAGTTAATTTGTGCGTGATAATAGGTATTTTTTAACGTCGAATAGAACTTGAAATAAAGGAGCAGAATCTGCTTTGAATTTGAACTCAGTGCAGTTTCACTTTGATGACTTTTTCTCGCACTTACGGTGAACATTTGTTAAAATGAGTGAACATCGACCTTTCCCCTTGCGATTAATAATGAATATTCACTTTTTTTAAATTCACATCAATTCAGAATCCAGTAAGTTATTGTAACTGAACAGGGGCGTCCACCCGTCCATGAAGGCGAACGAGGCGGCCGCCTAGGGCCCCAAGTTAAGTGGGGCGCCAAAAATTCGAGCAAAACACATTCCTGCGGAGGGAGCTGGTAGTAACGGTCAATGGCCAGGGTCAACAGCGGCGTGGTGTATTCCGCAAATATGCCCGACTGTGAGGGCAGGCACACGCCGGCGTGAGTAGGTTAAACGTTGATACAGGTTGGAACACCAGGTTCCACACTGCCCACCAGGGATTATTTGTCTGTCGTGCATCAGAATGCAGCCCACCCATGCCCCCCCCCCCACCGACCGCCGAGCAAGGCCACGATTGGTTGAGGATATCGGGGAGGGTGGGGGGAAGGTAAACACGCCCAATCATCCAACTTCCCCCCCCAAACGCCGAGCGGGGCAGCCACTGGTAGAGGTGGCGTGTAAACACGCCCACTCATGAAATCCCCTCCTTACAGAACACCGAGCAACGCTGTGATTGGTTGACGATGACGGGGAGGGTGGGGGGGAAGGGTAAACATGCCCACTCATCCAACTGCCCCCCCCCCCCCGAACGCCGCGCTGAGTGTGTGAGTCTGAGAGAGTGAGAGTGTGTGTGTGTGAGTCTGAGAGTGTGTGTGTGTGTGAGTCTGAGAGTGTGAAAGTAAGTGTGTGTTTGAGTCTGAGAGTGTGAGAGTGAGTGTGTGTCTGTTAGTCTGAGTGTGAGAGTGAGTGTATGTGTGTGTGAGTCTGAGAGTGTGAGAGTGAGTCTGAGAGTGTAAGGGTGAGTGTGTGTGTGAGTCTGAGAGTGTGAGTGTGTGAGTCTGAGAGTGTGAGATGTCAGTGTCTGTGTGCGTCTGAGCGTGAGTGTATGTGTGTGTGAGTCTGAGAGTGTGTGTGTGAGTCTGAGAGTGTGAAAGTGAGTGTATGTGTGTGAGTCTGAGAGTGTGAAAGTAAGTGTGTGTTTGAGTCTGAGAGTGTGAGAGTGAGTGTATGTGTGTGTGAGTCTGAGAGTGTGAGAGTGAGAGTGAGTCTGAGAGTGTAAGGGTGAGTGTGTGTGTGAGTCTGAGAGTGTGTGAGTCTGAGAGTGAGATGTCAGTGTCTGTGAACGTCTGAGCGTGAGTGTATGTGTGTGTGAGTCTGAGAGTGTGAGAGTGAGTGTATATGTGTGTGAGTCTTAGTTACCTAGAGTGTTATACAGGTAGGAACAACAGGTTCCACACTGCCCACCAGGGATTATTTGTCTGTCTGTCGTGCATATCCGGAATTCTGCCCACCCATGCCTCGGCAAGGTAAGGTAAAAGTTATAAAGTAAAAACGACGAGCCTACCTTTACCCTACCTTTTACCTTACCACAATAAAATCACTCTACCCTTACCTTTTACCCTTTAGCAGGTAAGGTAAAAAGCAACGAGCCTACCTTTTACCCTTACCCCATACAAATTACCCGATTACAGGGTAATTACTAGGGTACTACACATGAAAAAGGTTTATAACGGTAAATGCTAGATAGCGCGCTTTATTCATATAGAGTACTCTCGATGATTCCAATTTTACACGCTTGTCATTGTTGTCATTGTTGTCGTCGTTGTCATCGCTGTCGTATCCTCAAATCTTGTAACTCAATTTTAACCCACTTCCTAATGTGGTATCGACTGCACACTTGGTATACTTATGGCATACTGATGACAATACTATATTCTATCATAAAAAAAAAAATTTACATGATTTTTATATGCTATGTTTCGGCTTGGGTCTAATTGTCCACGCTCAACTGCCGTTGGCTGTAAATCACCACGGTCCCTTACGTTGTGGCAAGCTTCGGGGCCACTTCCTGGAGTCGTGGAGTTCTGTTATTACTCGTACATTTAATGAAAGCGTGTTTAAAAAAAATATTTTGTAATATTACTTATTAAATGGAGGCCATGGACTGCGCCATGGAGCTTTTAGCGGTAAACAAGGTACCGTATTTACCGGGTAATACTTCGCGCTACATTTACCCTACCGGGTAATTCTTCCGAGCTACCTTTACCCTACCCTTGACCTTACCCCTTGGCATGTTGACAACTTTACCCTTTTACCCGGTAAAAAGGGTAAATTACCTTACCTTGCTGAGGCCTACTCCCCATCGAACACCGAGTTACGCCGCGATTGGTTGGCGATGTCGGGGAGGGTGGGGGGGAATGGTAAACACGCCCACTCATCCAACTGCCCCCCCCCTGAACGGCGCGCTGTCCAACCAAGTTCCTACCTGCCCACTCCGAAGGAACGTGTTAGGGCACCACGGGGTGAGCAGCCCCTCCCCACCCAGCCCCACCCCTCCCACCCCCCACCCTCCCTACCTAGCCCCACCCTCGCCACCCAGCCCCACCCTCCCCACCCAGCTCCTCCCTGCACGACGGACGGACAAAATAATCCCCTGTGGGCTGGTGTAACCAGGAGGTTACTACCAGTAAACATACAAATAAAATAACGACGATGTCATTATTTCAATTCCTGTGCGCATACAGCAGGAATATGAATTATAATTCACTTCTCAACATTCCTGAGAATGTATTGGTTGGACAGACGGGCGAACGGACAGACCGAATCATTATTCCTCTGTTTAAAAAAAATCCGCTTAAAACATTAAGTTATCATCATACCTAAAATCGGGGAAAAATGTTTCCCAGTTTACCAGAAAACTCAGCCTGGATCTGCCCTTGGGGTTTGGGGGTGGGGCCGCCCATTGGGTGGTTGGCGAGGGCGTTGCCAGTTGCTGGCAGCAGCTGCTCTAGGGCCGCTCCTCTCACTGAGTGCAAATTCATTTTGGTAAAAGCGATTTTCTGCTCACGCTTTGAGCGAAAATTGGTGAACACAACGACGCGTCCTTCCGGGTTATAAACAGCTCATTTTTTAGTATCCACATCAATAGGGAATCCAGTGAGTCAATACTTATAATAATAATAATGTAATAATTACCACAACAATTGCGCATTCGCAACAAACATAAGCCATGAACCGCGTGTTTACATTGTTTCATTCACTCTCACAGGTGATAAAAAAATAAAAGTTTGCAAAACTAATTTTCGATTGAAACTTTTCGTTTACTTTCTTCCCGACAGAAAGGAAACTCCAACAGCTATTAGAATGATGAAGGTGATTTACAATTTTTCATTCTTTATTTGCAGGTGTGTTATACATTACTCTCGGAGAAGAGAAAATTACATTCGGTACGTCACATTCCGTAATTTTGAGTTCATTCAGATGAATCCAGAAGAGTCGCAGACGAAAGAAGACGTCGATTAAACGGAGGAAGACGGCAGAGGTGGCGTCATCGACAAAGTCACAACACAGTGGATCGTTTACGACGTGAAAATACCCGTCACGTGACGGGCAATTACGCGATGCTTCTCACCAGGACTAAAGCGGGAAGTTATTTTTCCCCAATTACATTTCTTAAATAATGATCAAATAGAGCAAGTCAAGATCTATAAGTATCTTGGGGTCATCCTTGATTCAAAACTGAATTTTGAAGATCACATTGATTATATTGGTAAAAAGACAGAAATAGGTTTTCTGTATCGACACAAGCACTGCTTCCCCCCTATGTTCCGTTTGGAATTGATAAAAGCTACCATACTGCCTCTACTTGATTACTGTGACATCGTGTATAAATCAGCCCCAAGTACTGCATTGAAGAAGCTTGACTCAATGTATCACCCCGGCCTTAAGATTTGCACTGAACTGCCCATATAGGACTAATCACTGTGATCTCTACATTGGGTCAAACTTAACATCTCTTAATGTTCGACGGCTTGTACACCAGATCTTTTTTATTCATAATGTACTTACAAAAAAATCCGCAGATTATCTGCGGGACTTCCTCTCAGTTTCAAAGAAAAAATTTGACCTAAGGTCTTCGCTCATTTACCAACTTCAGATTCCCTATTGCCGTATAAATACTGTAGGAAGGGCCTTTTCTATTGATGCCCCCAGGGTCTGGAATGCTATTGCCAATAAACTGCAACTTGAATCACTACCTATGATATCTTCACTCAAAACTGCTCTAGAGGAGATGTACACCCCGAGCTGCCACTGCTATTTAGTGGCCTAAAATAAAATGTTTCACTCCGGACTTGCATCCCACTGGGATTTTTGCACACAGCGTTGGTGTACGGTGCTTTTTCTGCAATGTTTTGCCGTCTTTTCTTGGATTTTCTGTTTGCAAATAGTCACATAGTCACTTTAAGATGTTTTCTTGTTCATGTTTTTTTGTTTGTTGTGGTTGCACCCGATTCAAGAGCCGAATGGCTCACAGGGCTATACCTAATAAATGAACTTGAACTTGATGTTATTATTAATATCTATTTTTCTTCTTCATTTTCAGATGACATTGAAAAAATGGACAGGAAATTGACCAGAGACGAACGAGTTTGATTGTCATTCGTATGCAAAAGAAGGCAGCTGTGATTGCTCATACGTGCATCGTGCATCAATGTTAACAGAAGTCAGTTTTAACATTTGTTAAAACAAACAACATAATGCTTTCTAACTGTTAAAATAAAAATGATGACACTATGTGGCATGACTTTTGGGCTACCCTCTATAGGTGACGTTATGAAGGGCCAATTGTGATGTGCTTTGCAGAAAGGCCATTGCCTGAAACGTCGCTTTTTTATATATAACCACACATTATATATTTATTACACATTATTATCGGAATCAGAATAGATATTTAGACTGGAGGAATCCGATGAGTTATAAAGCTCTTTCGTATGTTGGGGCAGGTAAGAATGTTAAAACAACGAACAATATCAACACATGATAGGAGTGCAAAATACAGGTTGGCCCAAAAGTTTCATTCATCGTGCCACTGAAATTGCAACGTTTTAATCATTTAGTCTAAAAGTTAACATTTTTTTTGTTATTATAATTAATACCATGACAAAACAATCCTCTGTGATTTGTTTAAATAAATCAATAAGATCTGTGTGTCCTAACTTGTGGGCCACCCTCTATCGGCGACGGTATGAAAGGGCAAACAACTGTGATGTGCTCTGCAGACGGACCATTGCCTGAAACGTCACCTATCATTATCCAATACCCACCCCAGTGTACTCCCAGCGTTGTGGTTGGTTTAGCGGCCCCGCCGCCGCCTGCGCGGCTCCCGTCAGCTCCGGCACGGCGACCCGCGCCGCGCCTCGGGCTTCATCCGGGGAGGGGGTCCCGGGCACAGCCCCGCGGGATCCCTCGCGGGTGTCGCCATCTGCAAGAAGGAGAAGAAGCACAGTGGTCACATTTCGTACTTCTGGGTCTACATTTCCCATTATAGATAAAACATGGCCCCAGCCAGCACCCGTCGTGCCACCATTAACCAGAAAGATTTTGCTCCACATTGAAGTATGAAGCTCAAATTCGAGAATAATGTGATGTGCCTGTCACGTTGTCTGATAGGTGTTTTAAGCTCCCCGTGTTACTCATGATGAGCAACAGCAGTGGCTCCAAAGTGGCCCTTGCGTTGGTGGCTGCCACCCTAACGAGAAGTCACGAGGTCGCGTGGTCGCACACTCACCTTGGGGTGCAGGCAGCACAGACACGCTGATGTTCTCGCGTGCTGTAGCTGGCACCAGGGAGGGTTCAGGCCGGCCATGGGGAATGCAGCTGGGTTGCGTGTAGAACCTCTCGTCGGCCGCCACCAGCACCTCGTTGGACGAGGTGGGGGCCAAGACCGTGAGGTCGTTACCGGACGAGGTGCCCTCTGCTCCAGCTGCCACAGTCATGGTTGGGCCCTGCCACAGCAATGCAGTCAACACATCCACAATTAATCCTCCCATCCGGACTGGCATCCCAACACACGTGAGACTGAATTATCTCCAAAATGAATCAAATTAAGTCCATGAACCGATAAGTGATCTGCATTAAATGTCTCTGAAATATATATAGACGATTGATTTTTAGAGGAACCCCAAACTGACAAAATATTCAAAGAAGTTGCCATTGACTAAAGACGAACGAGTTCAGT